TTCATTGATGGGAAGCCCCAGTGATCTCCACAGCCTTTTGGGAGACACCCCAAAAATCTTGTTCAAAATATATTATTATGTTATGTTTACGTTGGTCATCATCAAAAGGTTAACTTTTCTAAAAATAGGACAATAAAGTTTTCTGATTTAAAGATATTCTGGTACAAAACAAAATTAAGAAGCAAAAGTTTTCATATGACTATGATGATTGCTGCTAATCTCATGGTATGTTAAATGTATTTATGTCTTCCAGATATACAGGTTCTTTAAAATGTAGATCTGGAACTGTTTATGATGATAAGGTTTTTCTTTCAGAATCAGACATCTGCCTTTTTCTTGTGCTCCAGATATTTGTGATAACAGGCTCATGTCAAGCCAACATGAGGTGACCTCATGTTGGCTTGACATGAGCCTACCAGTCAATAATAGTATTTTAACAAAAATGTATGTGATGTATATGCTATGTATAGCCCTTATACTTAGAGATGCCTAGACATTAAACAGTCAAGACAATGTCACACATTTCTTCAATGACATCTCATTAAAGGTCAACAAGTTAGGTAAAAGCTTCTTATGCACTAGACAGAGATGACTGACTAAAAAGGCTATTTTATGTCAAAATGGAAATTTAGGCGTATTGCAAAAATATCACCATGACTGTCATACTACAATATTATGTATGGCTTTTGATTTCAAATTTTCTGTGTAAAACTATATAACTGCTGTCTGTTGACATTCTACAGGGATTCAACTAGTGGAACACTCATGGTTGGTAGGAAGTAACATTTCTACACTGTATTTCAAGGTGCTTGATATTCAGATAAAATTATAATATTAAGCTCACTGCTCCCATTACAATGTAATGTCATTACTCTTCTCGTCTGGATGTTCAACAACTGAGGTTTGGAAACCAAAAATTAGAAAGATGAGTTAGAAGGACAGCCAACATTTTGGCCCTGGCTCTCTGAGGTCAGTGAGGATCTAGGACATGAAAGAACTTCTGCTTCAGCATCCTATAATTCAATGAGTCCCCAGTCTTCTGACCAAGGAGATTGTGGGACCACAAAGGACAGTGATCAACAGTGTATAGTGTGCCTAAGGAGAGTCACTAAGAAATGTCTTCAAGCTTTCATAGAAAGCAACTTGGTCCAACAATGGCCATGACTCATCCAAATGGCTGACATTATCAGAAGTACAAAAAGGTGCTATACATGATTTCAAGGTAAATTCTGATGAGATTTAACTGACCTTGATAGATAGCAAAAAATTGATTAATACAGGTCTCAGCTTAACTTCATCTTGAATATCCAGCAGAAAAATATAACCATAAGACGTAGAAAACAATGCCATAGCAATATGTTAGCTATAAAAGAAACTCAAATCACTAACACCTTCTGACAATTGCCAGCTACACTGGTAACTGACTACTGTTATGTGTTAATGGACTATATAGGGTTAAATTGCTGAATGCAGGGACCTGAAATCCTTGGACTTGGAATCTTTAGCCTAAATAAGTTCACTCAGAACGGAAAAGTTTTGAGAATGAGAAGATCTTCTGCAGAGTCCTCTAATCACAGCTCCTCCAACTTCAACTGACCACATGGTTTGCAACTACAGAACAGAAAAGGGGGCGATGTGGGGAGCAGCTAGCTGGAGATTGATCACATGTACAGGGTTAAAGCAAGACCAGCCCTGAGAACATGGAGCACCTAAGGCAAGCCACATAAACAAGCTGTTCCAGTTCCAAAAACGCAAGGTGCCCAGTTTGAGCCAAGCAAACAAGTTGCTAGGCAGAGTGGTTTCAATTGACCATAGCTTTCTAAGTGTATAAATAAATGTACTGTGGTCATTGGGTGGTCCTTTTTCTCCCACCATGATAGGAGGCTTCACCTGACCTCAACTTTGTAAATTCTGACTCTTGTCTCCATTTCTTCATCTTGCACCATCCTTCCCCAGGGAAATCTGAGAGCTGCACCCAATGCAGAACATATGCAGTTAGGATTGCTCCCAGACCATAACTGAGAGAAGCTAGAGTCAAGACTATGGGCCCTTTCAGGACTTCCTATCAGATAGAGGTCAGAAAGCCCATTTCAGTGGCACAGGCATCCAGCAGTTCCCCCACACAGGCAGGATGACTCCTGCTATGGCAGAAAGGGGCTGGAGCTGAGACTGGATTTCTCCAAAATTTAATATATCTGCTAGTGGGATAGATAGGCAAGTTTCCTTCTAGGTCCCATGTGAGCACTGTTAAACTAAGACAACTAAGGGAGACTTAAGGCAAGTTACAAGATAAAGGTGGGTCCATTGCCAGAACTGATATTAACAGGCCTGGCTGCTAAGACACTTGTGGGCATGATTCCACCCAGACCTCTTACTGGATGGTTTTGGCAGCAGGCTTAAGGCCATAGGTGGCTATAGCTAAACCGTTCAAGGAATAGCATCCTTTTCAGATTTGAACCTGGGATCACAACCACGGATCTGCCCTGAGTTTGGATCTATGTTCTCAAAACAATCATGCTAAAGTGTTGGTGTCAACTGGAGTTTCATAACCTTCTATCTGAATCCCAAGGCTCTCACAAAGACTTCTGTCAGAACATGGGTGTAAAATGCTCCTCGTTGTAGGAAGATACGAGCAGAATACCTCTTATACTGACATCTTGTTGTGTGTATATTATTTGAAACCACTAAATTTTGGGGTAATTTACACTTCAATAGATACCTAATAACACCTCTTATACATAATATTTTATTTGATGGGTTAACTCTTCCATTATTTTTTACCTTTAAGAAAATATACATTTATAGTGTATATATCTATATCCCGGCATATGTATGTATATAGTTGACAATCATTATTCACAGATTCTACATCTATAAATTTTCCTACTTGCTAAAACTTATCTGTAACCTCAAAATCGGTATTTATGGTGTTTTTCAATCATTTCCCGACATATGCAAGACAGTGAAAATTTTAATGCCTCATATGCACATTGCTAGCTGAGACAGAACAGGGTGATGTTCTGCTGACTTGTTTCAGCTCTGACACAGAGACAACCAGGGGATGGAAATGAAAGCAGCAGTATAATGGAGCACAAAAATCTGCAGCTTTATTGTCAAATGAAAGTTTGAGTCTATTTCTGGAATCTGTTACGGGAGTGACGGGATGAATCATTTAATATTTCTGAACCTTGTTTTATCTGTTATAAATTAAATTTAACACTGTAAGTCACTTTTAGGATTTAAGATTATAATCTCTGTGACATATTTCCCTAGGAATAATGGTTCAGTTGGTGCTAATTCATTGTGGCAACTTCACAGAAGATAAGTAACGTGAATAAGAAGAATGCATTGTACATGCATTCATTAATTTTTGTATTTTACAAAGCTAAATGGTTATGACTTTTTGTTTCCATTTTGTGGTTAAACACATTAACAGAGCATTATATCCTGAAGTTCACTCCATATTAGTATATTCCTCCCCCTCCCAAGATAATACTTTCTTATGTGTACACCATAATATATGCAATCAAACCTCTGTTAGTAGATATGCTGGATGTTTGCTGTTTTGAATATTAAAAAGTCTTACAGTGAATAACATTTTGATTTTTTTGCTGATAAATCTTTGAGATGTATTCCTCAAGCAGGGCTCTGAATCATAAGGTAAAAGTTATGCAGGGTTGTGGTTTTAGACATATGCCATAATCCTTTGATAATCATCCCTTAGGAGGTAGAGCTCAGTTCATTTCTTTGACTGTAGACTGCTCTCAGTGACTCTCTTTTAGTAAACAGAATATGAAAGTAAGAGAGATCTCTTCCAATTTAGGTTATAAGAAAGACTGTGGCTTCTGGTATGTGTGCTCTTTCTTCCTTGACTCACTTGTCTTTGCAGAAATCAGCTGCCTTATCATCAAGCAGCCTTGAGGAGAGGAATGACAGCATGTCATGAGGACAAAGAGGCACCCTATGGAAAGTCTATAAGCAGCCATGTAAGTGAGCTTCAAAACTGATATTCTGAGGCTTCCCAATAGTCACTTGCTAAGTTTGGAAGCATATCCTCCTCCAGGTGTGTCTTGAAGTAATGCCCTGGTCTGTGGTTTTACTGCAACCTCAGGGACTAAACCCCAACCACTTAGCTAAGCTGTTTCCCTATTCTTGACTCAGAAAAACTATGAAATAATAAGTGTAATTTCAAGCTGCCAAATTGTGAATAATTTGTAGTTTTGCTAGATACTGTCAAACCCTCTATAGAGGGGCCTCACTTCAATTTAGAGTTCCATAGTTACATAAATATTTATTTATTGCTATGTGTTTATAACAGTGTAACCACAAAGGGCAAGGATACGCTCTTCCTATGTGAAAAGCTCTTAGTCTTTGCTGTATTGCTATATCAAAGAACTGAGCCTAGATACTTTATTAAAAACAGAGGTTTATCTGGCTCGTAATTGTGGGGGCTGGAAGGTCTGAACAGCATGGCAACAGCATGTGACAGCATCACAACATCACAGAGAAGCCTAAAGGAAAATATCCACATTCAGAAGGGGATGGAGCACATGGCCTCACTTTAAGGACCTATTTTCGTGAGAGCCATTTCTTACCCTCTGCTTTGCCTTCACCAAAACTTTAGTAAGGCTCCTCCTGTGCTCCCAACAGACCTCTAAACTTGAGTTCATCTCCAAGTTGAAGCAGTCTAATCACTGCTACATTCCCATCACAGCAACAGTCTTTCTGAAGACAGCCTCTCCTTGGCTAAGTCCAGATTTGTTTTTATTTGACACGAGAAATAGAATTGTTAAATGTAAAATTCGCTGTTTATTTAAATATATGCCCAATTTCATAGCCTATGTGAAAAACTATGATTCCAAATTGTATTCACTTACACACGAAATATCAGTTTAACGTGCATTTTTTAAAAAAACTATAAAAACTCGATGTAAAGGGTCAAATTCAAGGTAACAATTTTAGTGCTCACTTTCTGCAGCAGTTCTTTAAGTTCTCTGTTTTAAATTTGGTGGATTCTTTTTAAATTTTTAAACTCTTTGGCAGTCTTTCTTTTCACGTTCCCGCCCCATTGTGCAGTCCGTCTTCTCTGTGTCTCAGCCTCTGGGTCTCCCTGGTCTGGCTCTCGCTCCGCCCCCGCTCCTCCTCTCCCACCTGAGATTTTTCCCCGCAGTTTCCGGTCTCCCCTGGCGCCGCGCCTCCAGGTCTTCCCCTTCTCTGCTTCTCACGATGCCTCACCATTCCTCAGTTTCCTCTTCGCTGACTCTCAAGTTTCCTCTTCTGTTTCTCTTCGGTCTGCCCCCGAAACTTATTATTGCAATTACAATTTCCCCCGGAATTCCTTATCACTGTTAGTAGCACAATTACAGGTCGTCACTGCTACTTATCCCTCCTCCGTCCCCAGATTTTAGCCCAGCAGTGGACTCTCCCGAGGGAGGACTGCAAACTGACCAACACGATTATGTGGAATCGTAGGCAAAAATATTTTACCATTCCAAATGATTCCTCTTTCACCAAAGCGTTCTTTCCATAAACAGTAACACTCCAACTGCTTCCCTGCCGCTGCCCCTGAAAATCCTCTCCTTAAAAGTTCTCAGTTTACTGACTGACACTTTAGTGCTTTCTGTCATCTCCTTTAGCCTCCGCTCTTCCAACGGGGCTAATCCTCCGCCTGTACGGAACAGACTGGACTCAAGATGGCGGCTCCCTTGAGGATCGTTGCTTGGGAGCAGCCATATTGCCTCCTGAACAAAGCGCCCCTTACGGAAGAGTACAGGCTCCAGCCCAGCGCTGCGCTCTCCCACAGGAAGCGAGAGAGGGCTCACCGATATGGATGTGACAGTTGTCACCTTTAATCTGTGATGGGCGTCTCATGGCCTGATAATCGAACTGGTGGTCAGAAGAGGTACAGGTTAAGTGATGAGTGTGAGTCGGTGGGCTGGTGGGCTTGGTATTGGGAGGGGAGTTATCAATGAGGATCTGTTATACATTTATGGTCACAGGTAGGGGATGTGGAATTAGTATTAGACTAAGTTGGGAGTGAGGGATGGAGTGAGCTATTTCATTAAAAGCTGTGGAATGATTTGGTGATGGGGTGTCTGGGATCAGGCATGGTGTGTTCCAGGTGTACTATCTGTTGGGGTAACTGATTTAGGCTGCTGTGAAGTACCAGTGATTTGTGGTTGGGCAATGTGGACTAAATGATGAGGGCATCCGTGTGGGTTACGTGACTGCCAGGCCCAAAGATTCCAACATTTGCAGGTGTGCTGGTAGGGTCCGACAATCATGGTGGTCATTACCAATGTTCTAAAGAAGGCTTTAACTTGTATTAAGTTTCACAGGCCAAAGCACCTTTTGAGTACTTAAAAGTTCAAGTCCCTCTTCACATCTTTCTTCAAACGACCACTGTCCCTTTAGCCTAGTGCCCCCCTCAATAACAATCATTTTAAACAAGACAAAACAAATAAAAGGGAATAGGATTATTGTGAAAAGTTGATTTCAGTCCTCTTCTTTCATTGAAATAGTTTTTTTAATTTTACACAAGAAACAGTTATTTAGCATCTACTGGGTGTATGGACATTCATATAACTATTTCCCTTACTTTTTTTCCATATTTATTTTGATAAGGCCTGGAATATCCTGTATAAAATATTAATCATTAGTCTCCCTGTCACAGGAACCCCAACTCCCTCTGAGCCAATTCAACCTTCTCCTCATGACTCCTTCTGGAAATGAGAAGTATTTACCATGTTTGTACCTTCCTATATCATGATATATTTCCTTTATGAATGATTCCAACTTAATATCATTTTTAAATGCAGCCAATTGCATTATTGAAAATCAGCAATAAAAATTTGAACAAAAAATCTTAAAAGTAACATTTTAGTCAATGAGTATTGATTTGGCAGAAGAGTTTGCTAAGATAGGGGAAAATATGAGAGCTCTTGGGATTGGAATTTGAGCTGCTGGTTCTTTCTGGGGGATAGGTGGATGCATTTAGTGATTCCTATTCTTACTACCAGAGAGCTCCATCTATAGTTGAATCTTTATGGATTGACCCATGATTATTGTCTTGTGATAATGTTCTACAGTAAAATTGCTGTTTCCCAGAAGGCACACTAACTCATGAGTAAATTAACTGGAAATATATCTCTACATCAATTAAAAAACACTCTTTTGTGTTTGGTAAGTAATCATCAGTAAATATGTTATAAGCACAAGCAGAGTAAAGTTTGTTGATCAGTACCTTCTCAAATGGTGCTTGCTGATGTTTCTGTAAGGCTCAAACAAACTTCTCCCTCACAGTGGTCATTATCCACTTGATTTCTAATGGTCACTGTTTCAAGAATATGAAAGCCGAGAATGGGTTTGGGCTGTGAAAACTTGATTCTGATCACTAGTGTTGCTTTTTCAGGCATCTGCCCTTTTGGAAGAGTACAGAAAATGAAGTCCCAGGTGAGTTGCTTTTTAAAAATTAACCTCTTTTGTTTTCCATGCAGTCAAATGTAAAGTACAGTAGCTAAAATTTGGATTATGAAAAGACTAGCAAGAATAAAAATCAAGATTTAGAAAGACTTGCCACGCAATATGTAGAAAATCTGGCTTAAACCATTTTTATAGATTGTTGTGTCAATTTTCATGTCCTTTCTTACAGACATTAATAGCTATTTCCTTAAACCCAAGTGGACAAATTTCCCATGGGAAGAAAATATTTCTTGCCATGTAAGACTAAAAGAAAATTTCCTTTTTGGTATCTCCCTAGGTCTACTGTTCTCACCAAACACTAATGCAATAGTAGTTGTCTTGTAACTGTGTTTTCAAGTTATCTTTTTTTAGAAGGTATCAATGTCTTAGTCAAAGTTTTCAGAGCAGGGATAGGCACACTATTACTGATGGGCCCAGTTCAGTTCTCCAACTGTCTTTGCAATGATTTACTGAGGCACAACTATGCTGTTTGTATACATAGTGTCAGTAGCTGTTTTTGACTTATGATGGCAGAGTAAAGTATTATACCAGAACCACATGGCTTTGCAATGCCAGAAATATATACTTTGCTTAAAAACTTTGTTGATCCGTGCTTTATGGGAACAAACTCATTATAAAGGTTTCCTACAGTCTACTTTTCCCCAGACATAATATTTTAGATAGATACAATTTGAATGCTGGTCCAAAATACATTTTTTCTCCCAAAAAGCTGTTCTTGAATTATATTTATCTGGTTAAGGTTTGGAGGGCAGAGTTCCCTGATGCTCCATCCTTTGCTATGCCTTCAGAATTCATAGTCTTACTTTCTAAATTTATTTTTTCTCCAATCCTCATTTTTAAAAATTATACTAATTTTATTTTCTCTGTGTCAGCATTAATTATATGCATGGTGTAAAATTTGAAACTGTACAAGAAAATTAAAAGCAAAGAGAGCTTTTAACATAAACTCTTCTCCTGAGATGATCAATTTTATTTGTCTTGAACCTTCCAAATAACTGCAATTAAGGATATATATGTGAAAGTACAAATAGGAAATGTCTCTTACTTTCTTCTACTTTTCTTTTGGAAAAATAATATCATAATAAATATTTTGTTGTGCTACCTTATTTTTAGCTTTCCAGTGTAAAAGTTTTTGTATATCTTCCCATGTAATACATAGAATTCTCCTTTGTTATTTTAGCAGATGTATGATATTTCCTTGTAGCCTGGTTGCCTGGGGTTGTTCCCTCATATGTAAAAACAGACACTGTAATCTTCTTAGGTGTGTTGTGAAAAATTCAGGAGTAAAAAAGCATACCTAAAACTGTAAGTAGGACATGGCTTTTACTGTATGCATTAGCTCTTATTACATCATCATCATTATTCTGAAATCTTGAAATATGCTTTCATATTAGTAGTCCTTTTATATATTTTACAGACTTTAACAACTGAATCGATTGAGAAAAGATGAGTTTGTTTATCTTCTTGGCTCTCAGAATCTTTACAGCTATGTTCTCCAGTATAGTGGTCATGAGGAATATGTGGTTATTGATCACTTCAAATTGGTTAGTCTGAATTAAAATATGCTTTAAGATGTATAAGAATTTGAAAATGTGATTTTAAAAACTCACTAAGAGTTTTTAAAGATTACATATTGAAATGATATTTTGAGTAACATATTAAGATAAATATATACTATGGGAAATAACTTTTTGATGTAGCTCCCAGAAATTTTTAAATGACCTTTCCCCTTAACGTTCTAGTTCAAAAAGATAGTATCTTAGTTATTTTTTCATTGCTCAGATGAACTACCCAGCATCCAAAGCTAAAGGAAGAAAGGTTTATTTCAGCTCACAGTTTATAGAGGTTTCAGTCCATGATTGGCTGGCTCCAATGCAGGGTGACATTGTAAAGAGGCATCACAGAGAAGAACCATTTATGGTAAGCAGAAAGCTGCGAAAGCATCCAGGCAGCAAGTCCAAACAACCAGTGACAAACAACTAGCATCAAGTCTCTTTGTGTCCTTTATCTTGTATCCTGACTACCTGTCCTTCGGGTGGATACTACTTGCACCCTTAATCCTAGCATTGCACCATGAATCAATCCCAGCATCACGCACTGCATCCAGCTACCTCTGAAAAAGCCCCACCTATGGCCACATGAGACTGAGAGAACATCTAAACACAAGCCATAACATTTCACCCTGGGCCCTCAAAGATACATGCAGTTCCCTTTATGCAAAAGGTATTTAGTCCATCTCTAAGAGTTGCCAAGTCCTAACAGTTTCAGCATTGCTGAAAAGTCCAAATCTGTTACTTGTTTCTTTTTTGCCCAGTACCAGGAATCGAACTCAGGACCCTGTGCTTGCCAAGCAGGCGCTTATGCCACTGAACTATATCCCCAACCCTTGGAAAGTCCAAATCCAAGTCTCCTCTGAGATTTAAGGCAAGCACTTTATCTACAAGCTCCTGTACAAATGAAAAGAAAATTAAACACTTCTAACATTCAGTTGAAAAAGATAAACATTTCCATTCCAAAAGGTAAAGATAGAGCAATACAAAGGAATGATACCAAAGCAAGTCCAAAACCCAACAGGGCAAACCATAAGTCCTGTAATTCCACATCTAGCATCCAAGACAGTCTGTGGCAAGATGTGAACTCCAAAGGACTTAGGTGTCTCCATCCCTATGGCATTTCTGGTGATTGTAGCTCATACATCTTCTATCTTGAGCTGGTTCTGCTCCCTCCTTGCAGTTTTCCTCAGACAATGCATGATCCTGGCTTCTCAAATTTCTAGGGTCTCCACTGCACCTTCAGCTTCATATATTGCCCTCTGAGGGGCACACTGCCAGGCCTCCCAAGCCTTCTTCTGAATTGTGAGTAGAAGCCTTCCTCACACTACAGCTCTTGCATTCTGCATGCACCTAAAATCAGCACCACATGGATAACACTAGGGTCAGCCACTTGGAATGGTAGCCAGGCTCGCTTCTTTCTTGCCTGAATGGGTCCAGTGCCTAAAATCCCAAGGAAAAACTTCCCTAGGCTGCCATTTTGGAATGTGGTGTTCTGGGGCTCTCTTCTCAAAGTGAAGTCTTTCACTTTTGCAATTTTGAGGCTTCAAAGTGTGGAGTCCTGCTGGTTCTTGTGATGTCTTCAGGCCATCTTATCTGTTATATTCCTCTGAAATATTTGACTTTTTCTTGCTAGTCTTTTCAGTGTCCAGTTTCTCCTCTGTCCCATCTTTGCAGACTAAAACTTTGCTGCAGTTTCCTTTCTGACTTCACCCTTAATACTAGTATTGCACCATGATTCAAACCCAGCATCACACACTCTAGATCCAGTCACCCATAAAAAGCCCCACCTCTGACTGCATGAGGTTTGTCATCTAAACACAAGCCATAACAGATAGCACTACTTTAGGGAATAAGAATGGCTTTTTTTGTTTGTTTGCTTGTTTGCCCAATAGGCCCAGTTACCATAGCTCATTAGCTGATTAAATATTTACTCCTTAAGAAAAGGGCTTTATATTTTTCCTGTACCATCCAGAAGTAAAGTCATCATTTTTCACATAGCCTTTTTACCCCTCTCACACCTTTGATTCTTCAATTTCTTTCATCTTCAAATGGCACTTCCATTCTGTAAGCTTCCCATGCTATAAGAATTGTTTGTAAATAGCCACTTTCCACTGATTATGCACTATATTTTTCTCAAAATTAGTGAAATTTATACCTACTTAATATAATGAAGCATCTGAGTATCATTAATGAAGCAAATGTTAAAATAACATTAATTTTCCATCAGAATGTGTTTCCTCTATATTCCACATTTATTACCTTTCTAATATCATTACTCTTCAGATAAAAGGAATGTAACTGGCTAATTTACAAAACGTATTTTTAACTAGGTTAAAACAGGAGTATTCACTTATTTTAATTTCTATAATCTTCATTCATTGTTAGCAAACATTTCTTAGGTACCAGAATTATATTGTGTATATTATACCCCTTCTCTGTCTCAAGATTTCTTTCCTAAGAATACTGTTGAGAAAAACGAGATAGATATGAAAACACAAAAAATCCCTCTTACAGACAAAGGTGCAATGTGCTGTTATCACAAAGAGTGGGCCAACCAGCTTTGTAAGTTCAACAATTAAACTGATTTGGGCTGTATACCATCAGTCTGGCCTTGAACTCATGGTGATCCCTGTTCAGCCACCCAAGTGCTGGGAATATTGACAACTCTGTTGAATTAAAATGCAGCTCATTTTAAAAAGACCTCTGAGTCATAAAGGAAATGTGATAAAGATAGAAGGAGCATTAGCAGAAGTAGAACATGCAGGGTGATTTTAAGAAGGCTAAGAATTTGAGGAAAATTGAAGGGGAGATTGCTTCATGAAAATATTGACTAGGGGTGTGGTACTAAAGTGATAAAATATTAAAGATCATGTTTACAGTGTTTGCAGTACAGCATTATCAAATACCGGGTTAAATAACCCTGTTATTGCAGGCTGATCAGGCCCGCAATCTCCCAAGCAAGTGGATAGCGAAGGCTTAAATAAATGAGACAAAAGCAATGATTTCAAGGCTCCAGGAGAGACTAACTCTCTTACAGCTTCAATATTCTCTGAGTTAGCCAAAGACTACTCTGGGTGGCCCATATTTATTTGGTTTACAAACAAAGGAGGAGGATACTCAAGAAAACTTGGGAATCTGGGCAAGACTTTTCCAAGTAATACATTATGTTAATTTAGGAGAACTATGTTATCTCCAGAAAGGCCTTCACAGCAAGAGTGAGATGCCTACAGCTACAGTCTCCTTTAAGTTAATTGGGGTTGGAGCCAGACATCCTCAGCTGTGGCCTTCAGACAGCTCACAAGTAAACACGGAAAGCCAGTTGGTCAATTCAAATCCTGCTCTGAGCCACTTTGTAGTGGTCTCCAACATAGCATGGTAGAAGGCCATAGTGGACGAAAAGATTCTCACATCACTGTGGCTAGGAAGCAGGGAGAAAAAGAAGGAACCAAAGAGGGAGGCACACTCTTCCAGGTCACACCCCTAGTGATCTCCCTCAAGCCAGGCCCCATCTCCTAACAGCAAGTAAGCTATAAACTCATCAGTGGACTAATCCAGTTACCTTCTAAACACATGAGGCTTTGGGAGGAACACCCCAGATCTAAGCCATAATACCTTACAATTTATTAAATTGCCATGTACACTAGGTAGATTTACTGCTTCTATTTTCCTGATCTGGCTAGCTCTTTTTGCTTAAGGAAGGAACTTATATTTCTCAAAAGCACTATAATGCCAAACTAGGTGTGTATATTTTGGGTACTATTATGGCTTTGTGTCCCCCAAAAGCTTCATGCAGTCATAGATGGGGCTTTTCCAGAGGAGCCTGGATCTGGAGTGTGTCATGCTGGAATTGATTTATAGTGCAATACCAGGATCAGTGGACTTAGATTAAGGGTGGGAGTGCTACCTGCCCTAAGAGCAGGTAGCCTGGATAAGATACAAGGGACAGAAAAAGCTATGGTTATTCCCTGTTGCTCTGCTTTGCTACCTTCTGCCGGCCTGAACTGTTTCTCCTCTGTGAAGCCACCCTGCCTTGAAGCCGGATAAACATGGATTGAAACCTCGACAAACTATAAGCTAAATAAACCTTTTCTTCCTTAAATTGTGTGTATTGAGTATTTTGTCTCAACAATGAGAGAAAACTAAGACAGGTACTCTGGTAGAAATGGTAAGAATGATCCTTTCAGACTTAACAGGAATGCACTCTTACAGGGGTTAGTATCATTCAAGGATGTGGCTGTAGATTTTACCCAGGAGGAGTGGCAGCAATTGGACCCTGCTCAGAGGACCCTGTACAAGGATGTGATGCTGGAGAACTATAGTCACCTGGTCTCAATGGGTAAGGATAGCTTCCCCACATAACTTGAGTTCTCCAGTCAAATGCTTTCCTCTATTAGTTACTGTATTTAACTGGTTTGTAACATATATAATTATTTTTATGATCTTCATACCTCCCCAAGTGGGGAACATTACTTTGTTGAACGCTAACTGGAAAACTTAATTGTAAATCATCTGAAACTGAACCTTTTCCTCTTCCTTCAATACAATTAATCCAGTTTCTTCATGATTTCTATTTAATAGGGTATCCAGTTTCCAAACCAGATGTTATCTCCAAGTTAGAACAAGGAGAAGATCCATGGATCATAAAGACAGATATGCCATACTGGACTTACCCAAATGCAAATCACACAGGTAAAAGACAAAGAAAGTGAAATATCTGTTCATTTGATTGATTTTTAGTTGATTGGTGCCTAAAGCTTAATACTTATTGTTATTTAAATCTCCTATTCTTTATTCTTGTTCCGAGAATTTAGAAAACATTCAAGAAATATTATTTGTAGGCATTTAGTAAGGATTCAAGGATTAATTGAAATTAATGGTGATCCTTTCATTGGAAAACTATTTCTGATTCATTTGATAGATAGATATATCGATAGATAGACAGATAGATGATAGATAGATAGATAATAGATAGATAGATAGAGAGAGAGATAGATAGACTATGTTTTTTATTATATGAAAGGGCTTTAAAGGCAATAGAAGGCAAAATCCATCCATCAATATGGGTTGTACTTTAGAAGGTAAAATTTCTTGATACAGGACTGTACACAGTTAAATATCAAATAACTATTTTAAAAGTTGAAAGAATTCAAAATTTAAAGACATATAGAAAAATTTGAGAAGATATTTTTCAAAGCATGCAGCTGTAGCTGCTCTGAATGACATAAGTTCTACAGGAGATGATGCTGCAGGAGATAAGGGAAGGCTAAATAAAATGGTTTGGAAAATAAAGTATATGAGCAAAACTTTGGAGTTAGGAAGACATGGCTTTTCTGTGTTTTAATAGTTTTACTTGATACACATATAAAGTATTATCACGAATAATAAAATTTAAGTGTATATTGTTGGTGTGAATCTAATATTGAATCTTTAGAAGGATCTTGAGTTTTCTGTTATAAAAAATAGAGGCTTGATAAACTATTTTGAGTACAGAAGAGATCTCATCTCTTTGAAGTGGTGGCAGGATAATAGTTAAGAATGTATAGCAAATGGTTTAGAAGACAAAGGAATTCAGACAGTATAAAGCATTTTTTGTTCAGTAGAAATGGGAAAATCCTAAAAGCATAGTCCAAGATTAGAGTGATAAGAACTAAGACACTTTTCCATCTCCTTCAAGTCTAAATTTTACATGAGTAATTTCTCTTCAGGATCCTCAACATTCTACCAGTCATATTTTAGACTGCACTATTTTCTAAGATGTATTTTTTAGTTTGTATGCTATGTTAGATCATCCATTTGTTCCTCTTTTTGCACTCTTAATTGTCCTTTTTGCCTTTTTCATTTTATCTTTCCTTCTTTCAGAGAGGAAGAATATCGTTCATAACTCCCAATCATGTATTTTGGGAACTGTTTCTTTTCATAATAAGATACTAAAAGGAGTCACACAGGATAGTTCATTTTACCCTATTATAAAAATCTATCCTGGTGATGAACAGCTGCAGACCTGTCAGAAAAATCAAGACAGATTTTTCAAGCAAGTTACATTTCTCAGTAACAAAACAGTGTTTGAAGCATCAAGTCATAAATATAATGCATTGGAAAAAATATTTCAAGAGTACATAGAGTCAGATATGCCAAAAGAAAGAATTCCTAAGTATGATTCATTTAAAAAGAATATAAAACCAAATTCTGACCTACTTCGTTATAAGACAAGTAATTCAAGAAAAAGCTTAGATGAGAGTTTTGGTAGTGCAAAAACATCATCTAGCCACAATTTATCTAATTCTGATCTTGAGAAATTACACGATGGGGTAATAACCTATAATGATAATTTATGTGAAAACATTTTCATCAGTAAACAATCCTTTATTCAATATCAGAATGTTGAAACTAAGGAGAAAACCTGTGTCTGTATTACATGTGGAAAAGCTTTTGCTAAGAAGTCACAGCTCATTGTACATCGAAGAATTCATACTGGAAAGAAACCATATGATTGTGGTGCATGTGGAAAAACCTTCAGTGAGAAGTTTCATCTCATTGTACATCAGAGAACTCATACTGGGGAAAAACCTTATGATTGTTCTGAATGTGGAAAGGCATTCTCTCAGAAATCATCTCTCATTATACATCAGAGAGTTCACACTGGAGAAAAACCATATAAATGTAGTGAATGTGGGAAGGCCTTCTCTCAGAAATCACCCCTAATTATACATCAGAGAATTCACACTGGAGAGAAACCTTATCAATGCAGAGAGTGTGGGAAAGCATTCTCCCAAAAATCACAACTCATTATACATCATAGAGCTCATACTGGAGAGAAACCATACCAGTGTACTGAATGTGGAAAGGCCTTTTGTGAAAAGTCCCACCTGATTATACATAAAAGAATTCACACTGGTGAAAAACCATATCCATGCACTCAATGTGAAGAAGCCTTCAGCAGAAAAACAGAGCTCATTACACATCAGTTAATTCATACTGGGGAGAAGCCTTATGAATGTGCTGAGTGTGGGAAGACATTCTCCCGTAAGTCACAGCTCATAATACACCAAAGAACACACACTGGAGAGAGGCCTTATAAATGTAGTGAATGTGGCAAAGCCTTCTGTCAGAAATCACATCTCATTGGGCATCAGAGAATTCACACTGGAGAAAAACCATATGTATGTACTGAATGTGGGAAAGCCTTCTCCCAGAAGTCTCACCTTCCAGGACATCAGCGGATTCATACAGGAGAGAGACCATATATATGTGCTGAATGTGGAAAAGCCTTTTCTCAGAAATCAGACTTGGTTTTACATCAGAGAATTCACACTGGGGAAAGGCCCTATCAATGTGCTGTATGTGGGAAAGCCTTCATTCAGAAGTCACAACTCACTGTGCACCAGAGAATTCATGCAGTGATAAAATCATAATTAACTGACCACAGGAAAGCCTTCCATATTAGATCAGTCCTTAATAATTATTAGAAACTCATTAACTTGATAAGTATGAGGATGACATCTTTAAAAATAAAGTTATACAAGGGAATTAATGTTTTTAGTGTAATGGTGCCTGATGTTTTCAGCTAAAATGATAGAAAATAATTATGTAAATGGACTTTTTTGAGACAGGGTCTCACTATGCAACTTAGGCAGGGCTTGAACTCATATAGTCCAGGCTGGCCTCAAACTCACAGTGATACTCCTGCCTCAGCCTACCAAATGCTGGAATTATAGGCATGCACCACCATGCCTAGCTGTAAGTGGACCTCTTGATATAACATGTAAAGCTTTTAAAGTTTTGAACTCATTGATCCATGGAATAAAACATGTATACAGAATGTTGTCAAATTCTGTACTTCTTACCATATCATATAAT